ATTTTTATTGGGGAATTGGGGGAAGGGGAACAGACAAGTTGCTGTCCTTTTGTTCTTCAGTCTAGTTGTGGAGGATGTTGCTTCACTGGCTCAAATTGGCACCATCATTGGGCTCTTCCTGGGCGAGGCAGATCAGTCACCGGCTTCTGGATGGCCGCTCACAGCAAATGCTGGCCGCTCACGCTGGCTGCTGGCTACACACTGTAGCCCATGGCAACCCACCTGCCGTCGCCGCAGCTCCAGGCAGCCCAGCTCCAGGTTGAGCTGTTCTTCAGCATCTTAGCTGTAGAGGGCAGTGTCACTGGACCTCGTATGTGGGATCCGAACCGGGGCCCTCTGGCATCCCAAGCCAGCTCTTACCAACGCACCACTTGGCCGGCCCTAAGATCTCTTTGTTAACACAAGGTCACAACGATTTTCTCCTATGTTTTCTTCTAATAGTTTTATAGTTTTAAGTTTTACATTTAGACTTATGATCCATTTTGAATTAATTTTTGTATAAAGATGTGAGGCTCATTAAAAAAAATTTTTATTGGGCCATGGTCATTGGTTACACATTGTTTCATGCTACAATGGCATAGTTTACTCTTTCAAGGAAGGCACAACTCACAGTGGCCCATGCAAGGATTGAACTGGCAAACTTGGTGTTATCAGCACCACGCTCTAACCAACTGAGCTAACTGGTCACCCCCAAAGGCTCATTTTTTTTGCTTATGGATGTCTAATAGTTCAACATCATTTATCGAAAAAACTATTCTTTCTCCATTAAACTGCCTTTGCACTTTTGTAAAACATCAGTTGCCCATATTTATGTGCGTCTATTTTTAGACTCTATTCTGATCCACTACTGACCTGATATTTAAATGTGACAGTGCCATGGAGCTCACTGGAGAATCCTGACCCCGAGAGGACAATGCAGCCCAAAGGCTAATTAAGTGAATCCATGCTGAGGAAAGTGGGGAGTCCAGCTCCCGCTGCTGTGCAAGACCACAGACCTGAAGGACCCCATCCCAACCCATCTGCACTTTTGAGAGAGACTGTGAGTAAGTCCCCAGGCCCAGAGAATGCCTAGCACCTTCTAGGGAACACCTGCCGGGGGAAGTGATTACCTTCGTTCCATCTGTTTCATGCTGGACATAACTTGATTGATTTTTTCTTCAAAAGATGTGATGGCTTCATTCTTCTGCTGTAAGCTGCTCTCTGCATCCTGCAAAAGCAAGGCAAGGAGTCAGACTCTGGGTCTCCCTCACCCCCAGTTAAGCAGGGTTTGACTGATCACCTGGTATTTTTATAACACTTTCAAGAGTGTTTCATTAATTGCTGCTCTTCCCCACAGGCCCTGAAGCAAACTGGGCCACAGCTCCCAGCATGACCAACAGAAAGAAAGGCAAAGAGGGATGCTTTTGTTTCCTCTACTAACTGTCCATGCGCCTTTTTGAAAAGGACCTTCAGAGTTGGAGCTGACTCAGCTTACAGAGCTGTTGGCACGTGCCAGGCACACCCACGGGCTCATCCCACCCCCACAGGTTCTCATGGTAGGTGTTGTTAGCCCCACGTCTCTGAGGAAGAGAGGAGGCTCGAGAAAGCATCCGGGCGAAGGTTAGTGCGCAAGCGTGAGTGAAACTGGGTTCATACCCACGACTATACGGAGTTCTGAGTCTAGGCATTTAACCATGGCAGATACTGAGTGACCAGACGGGACATAAAAGCACTATGTTCTTGTGTGTCTACAAGAGATACTCTTAAAATAAAAGGATGCACAAAGGCTGAAGGCAGGCGGAAGTCCTAATAAATTCCTAAGAAATAATATACAGACTGTATTCTCTAGCCAATGCAACAAAATCAGACTTTAACAACAAAACAATAGCTAAAAATCACCTCATATCAGGAAACTAATAGCACATTACTAAAAAACGATTGAGCTAAAAACAAAACAAAAAACCCAGAAGAGAAATTATGAAATACTTAAGAGCTAAAAGACAATGAAAACACAATGTAATATTTTACTAATTGAAGATGCCACTGAGCATAAGATGTACCTGAATCAAGGCATACTACTCAAAAACGAAAAAACTGCTACTTGAAACATGTCATATTATTGACTATAAGATGCAATCTCAATTTCAGAGATGCTAAAATGTGAAAAATGTACTTCATAAATGAAACTTTTTTGTCAAAATTTGAGGGCCACAGCTAAAACAGTACTTGCGGGTAATTTTTAACTTTTTAAAAACATTTTACTATTTTTTAAATTAAATTTAGTGGGATACCATTGTTTAACAACATTATATAATTTTGAGGGGTATAAGATATTAATTCAACACCTGTGCACGCTATAGCATGCTCTTTACCTGAAGTCTAGTTTCCTTCCATCACCGCTTGTTTGACCCTCCTTTACCCTCTTCATTCTCTCCCCCCACCCCATAACCTCCCTTCTATGAGTTTGTTTTTGTTTATTTTGTTAATTTGAGGCAATAAATGTAAAGAGAGGAGATATTTGTAAATGATACCTCTGATGAGGGGCTAATATACAAAATATATAAGGAACTCATATAACTTAACACCAAAAAGACAAACAATCTGGCTAAAAAATTGGCAGAGGACCTGAATAGACATTTCCCCAAAGACAACATACAGATGGCCAATAGACATATGAAAAGATGCTCAACATCACTAATCATCAGAGAAATGCAAATTAAAACCACGATGAGATATCACCTCACACCTGTCAGAATGGTCACCATCAATAAATCAACAAACAAGTGTTGGTGAGAATGTGGAGAAAAGGGACCTCCTGTGCACTGTTATTGGGAATGTAAATTGGTGCAGCCACTATGGTAGACAGTATGGAGGGTCCTCAAAAAATTAAAAATAGAACTACCTTATGACCTAGCAATTCCATTTCTGGGTATTTATCTGAAAAAATCTAAAATAATAATTTGAAAAGAAAAGATATAAGCACCCCTATGTTCACTGCAGCGTTATTTACAATAGCTGAGATACGGAAGCAACCTAAGTACCCACTGATAGACAAAAGGATAAAAAGAAAGTGATATATATATATATATATATATA